GCTTCTCCTTTTAGAAACAGAAGAACAAGTCTATGAGAAATAGGTCTCCTACAGCAGACCTTAGAGAAGATTTCTGCCTCCATGTAGATTAGCATACAGAGACTTTGACTGTGAGTAGGATCTATTCATTTTTTTCAGGATATTTTATTATCCATCTGAACTTTTCCCAGCAATATTACTACCTCTAATAATAATCTCTATTCCCAGAACAGAATGCTAGAATGGAGAACAAAAGGCTCCATTATAAAATTAAAAGACAAAACCCAAACACTTATGATACAACTCCTGGTAATTATATAGTCGTATCAAAATTGTCTACAATGAAGAATATAATACAAAAAAGATCAGGGAGGGAGAGAACCCAACTCTGTTCCATAAATTGGCCTGTATTCCCAATATGCTTTGATATATAGTATCTTTTTCAAGGGGTGGTGCTGGAAATAAGAACAATTGCTCAAAAATGTTGGAGCTACAGCTTCCTTAAATAAGTTTGCAGGCCCACAGATTTCAGCAAACCCTAATGGGGTTTTCTGGATTTGGCTTGGTGTGTTGTATGAATCCAGCCTTTACATTTGTCAGCAGAGGCTTATGGCTTAGAACTAGACTAAACATGCTGGCTGGGGAATTCTGGGAGTTGAAGTCCACCCATCTTAAAGTTGCCAAGTTTGAACAACATTGCCCTAACCTGAGAAGAGATCATCACTGGATCAAAGCCCTGGGTGTGATGACCATCTGGAGAATGGAGCTGCTGAAGCTCTGCGCCATTAATAAGCCCCCTCTCCCAAACTGCCATCTTCATACCAGAGAAGACCAGAAGAATGGGGAGGCTGGCATCTAAAGTGCTTCTCAAAAACCATGCCTTCCATTTTAATGGAGACAATTACAAAGCAAATGAGAAGAAGCATCAAGAAGCTCTGTGGCATGTTGCCAAAACTGCAAAATGGCCTCCAGTCGCTGCTCTGAAAGATATTTAGAGCCCAGGATCACCTTGATGTTTAATGGAGTCACATTTAATAAGCTCTGGCACCCACATTAAAGCATCCTTATTACACAACCCACAAGTCAGAGCTCCCTTTAGCCAGGATGCGGCACATTCACATTCACTGAGAAGGTTTAATAGTGGCCAAGAAATTATTACACAAAGCCATCAGCATCGCTGTCCTTAATGTCTTCTTGATTATTTTTTGTCGCTGTAATTATAATCCACTGAACCTTAAATTTAAACTGCTCTGGATCACAACAAACATCTTGGGCATAATAAAGCTGGACATCTATGCCCGCAGCCCCTGCAGCTGAGCTGAAAACTCATCCTCCACTAAGAAATCTGAAAAGCAACTTACACATCAATTAAAATAAACAATAACATCTCTAATACCATTTCTCTGCTCAACTACCCCTTGACGTGCCTCATACACACACCATTTGCCACTCAATTGCCGGTCTCTGCTTTAGAGATCGACTTATGAACTCCATTTTGTACCACCCAATGGCTAAAAACTCTTGGGGTCCCACAGAAGAGATGAAAAATGTATAATAAAACTGAAAGGCTGTGCTAACACAACAGTTACTCAAATCAATTAAAGACTGAGACTAAAAACATAACCTTGGGTAGATTAGCTCTGTGGTGTGTGTGGGTGTGTGTGTGTGAGAGAGAGAGAGACTTACCATGTTGTGTAAATACAGCCCATTTGATTAACCTCATTGTTCAATCTATGAAAATCCAGAATATAAGTTCACTCAGTCACCAGCTAACTGTGCTGTGGAAATATAGCCATTATAAACCCAAAACATAACATTCACATTCTTTCTTTTTTAAAAGGAGAATCAATAATCAATGCAAAGTTTTTTGTACTAGCGCAAGAGGGCAACTAAGTGGTGATGCAATGGGAGAAGCTGCACATTTAGGGACAATCTGCTCATCCTCCTATTGCGTACATCTTCTGAGTACCAGGGAGTTTTCAAAAAAAAAAAAAGGAAAACTGAAGAAGAGGAGTATGACATCTGCAGGCAGGACAATGAGGAGACCAGCAGGCTGTTTATAAATGCTGGCCAGGTGCCTCAAGGAAGCCCTGATGCAAGACTTGGAGGCCCCGGACCTCCCAGATTGAACTGCAGAAATGCAACACAAAAGGAAGAGGAATCCTTTACTCAGGCAACCCCACTTCTCTGCAAACAAAGACCGGGCAGGGTGGGAATATAGTAGAATTAGGTTCTCCAGTGCACAACTGTTTTCAGCCCAGCTCATACTACAAAGAACTTCAAAAAGTTCTCCTTGGGTGGAAACGTAGAGGAGACATGGTTAAAAGAGGAGGCGACATCCATAAATGAAGAGTTAGAAAACTGGACTTGGAAGGAACACGTTCAGAGGACCAACTTATACTTCACCCCAAGAAGTTAGTGGTATTCTTGGAATGACCGATAGGAGGTAGGAATCAGTTTCCTTAACATTAGGAATTATCTTCCTTCTTAAGCCTGTAGGGCAGCATTTTCCAACCTGGGCAAACTCCCATTTGTATGGATTTCAATTCCCAGAATTCTCAGCAATAACCATGCTGACTGAAGAATTATGGAAGGCAAAGTCCATCCAACTAGAAATGCCAAGTTGGAGAAACTGCTGCCTATCATGCATTTATAGGGCTCACAACTCATTTATATCAGGCTCTCATTCCTTAATGGCTGCTAAATTAAAAGTGTGTTAATTGCTTGGGCATCCTGTACATATTTCCCATTATAGCTGCCATTTCCAATTCTAAAAATTCTTACTGCAGATACAGAAGTACAAAAATCCTGATGGGTGGAGAACTGGTTCTTCTGTACCACTTCTTAATTTTTATTTTTTATTTTGGCTGAATATTCTGGATAAAGATAGCAAGAACAGCACCAAAACAAACCAGCTGGGTCTGAATATGGTGAAAGCATCTGTTCAGAATCTCTGCCTGCCACACACATTTCTGTATTATATTCAAGAACGTCAGGATCTGCTTGTTTTCCAACAGTGCAATACTGTGGCACACAGCTTTCCAGCAGCCCTCATGCTGATGGCCAGATGTTTTTTGCACTGCTATTGCATGTCACATGAAGGCTAAACCCAGTTCAAGCCATCATTAGCTCACAGTAAATTAATGTACAAATAAAACCTATAGGTCACAAACATACAAGACATGCCAGAAGGAGCTTATGGTCATGCTGAGGATGATTTTAAGGAGTGTTCACCAATGAATTCAGATGCGGCTGATCCAGCCAAACATTTATAGTGCAGGGTTGGGCTGGTGGCCCCTCTGTCTTGAGCAGCAGCTGGGGATATCAGCCCAATCCTGCCTATGAGCACCTAAAAGTCCAAGGTTGAGAAACATTCTCCAGGAGCCACAGGAGAACAGTACATCTGTCTTCTGAGCAAGCCAGAAAATAGGTCTCTCATCTTCCCCATTACCTCCAGCTGACCAGCTTTAGCAACTATGACAACAAAAGCATTGAAAGGTAACTACTTTGCTCAGCTACAAGAAGGAAAGCTCTCCTGTGCTTCTTTATATAATCATGATTCAGAGATTTAGCATCATAGGGTTACAATCCTGGTAGAGATAAGATGGTAAGATAGCCATGAAGGCCTTGGAACAGATATTCAGATGCCCTGAGGTGTCTATAGCTACAAAGATGAGAATCATGCAGGCAATGGAAGTGGAAGTTGGACTTTGAAAAAGCAGGATAGAAAGAGTATTGATACTTTTGAACGTTGGTGTTGGGGAAGACCCTTGAGAATGCCATGGATAGCCAAGAAAACAAACAAATGGATCATTGAACAAATCAATCCAGAGTTCCCACTTGAGGCACAAATGACCAGGCTCAAATTATCATATTTTGGACCCATTCTCTAAAGACCTAGCTCCCTTAAGAATCTATCTACGGGACTAGAACAAGTTCCACAGCCAGAGATCAGCTGTTTTCTGAGCATTCCAGTGCTCCTGGATTGGAAAGCCTGATTTGTCAAACATGGTAGGACCATTTTTCAGATGGGAAAGAGTTATGGTTCTTGTCAGAATATAGCAAATGCAGACAGTGTTACAACATCTCCTGTCCATGAAAGCTTACGCAATCACACATCTAAGGCATCCTATAATAATGGTATTAGTTTTTAAGATGCCACAAAATTTGGTTCTGCTACAACAAACCAACACAGCTACCCTCCGGAAACCATTACATTCCTATTACAGGCAGTCCCCAGGTTACAAACGAGTTCTGTTCCTAAGTCTAAGTCAAATTTGTAGGTGAGTCGGAACACACACAACACAGTGCTAATGGCAGTGTGATCTGACTTAGAATGGCGGACGGCGTTCTCCTTTCTTGAGCCAACAAAGCCCTGAAACCATGCAATGTTTCATGAGTGTCACAAAGTAGTATGTGCACTCATTATTACGAACCATTGTATTGAACTCAGTTTTTTTAATATAACAGGTTTTACGGCAGTCTGTTCGTAAGTACGAGTTGTTTGTAAGTTGGATGTTCTTGACCCGGGGATTGCCTGTACTCCTGCTGCAAGCGTATAGGTTCCCTGGACCTTCTTAGCACTTATTAATTGCCTTGCAACTTGTCAAGCTGGAGGAACAGCCTGTAGCCCCCCTAGCAGGACCTATCAGCTGTAAATCATTCCGCTCTGATGGAGTGAAGCATTTGTCTGGTCCTAATAAGGATATTACCTTGCAATGGATTTGCAAGATTTTCCCCCAGTGGCCCTGTTTAGAACAGCTGAGGTCTAGGACATTCCCATCCCACTCTCATCCTCCAGAGCTCCTCTACCCACTCACTTGCTGGTTTTCAAACACGCGACTTATTTCGTATTTCAAACAATTAGATGGATGTCAAAACAATACAAGGGGTGAACGATGCTGATAGCATTATCAATATGTGCTTGGATAGCACCCTCTAAAGAGTTGCCCTTTGGTATTGGTTCAAACAGCACTATCGACAGCTAAGAAATTGATCAGATTACAGAATTAGGTACCTACCAGCAATTTCGTGGGGGGACTGGAGATTTACAACTCCCTCTGTTTTCCCTGAGAGTGTGCTGCTGCTGCTGCTGCTGCTGCTGCTGCTGCTGCTGCTGCTGCTGCCGCCGCCAACACCTCCTCCTTCCAATATTCTGACCATCTCGCGCAGGTGCTCGCATTCCTCCCGCAGACTTGCCATCTCTTCTAGGCGCTGTTGCTTGGCCAGGCTGGCTGGGTTCATGGTGAAATGGAGTACTTTGGTTCGACTGGGATCATGATAGCCCTGCAAGGCACAGAAGCGGGGAAGTAGCTCATGAGGATGGACAACGGGCTACAGAATCATGCTGGGGGAAGGGGCCACCTGCAAAGGAACAGGGAAGTATTAAATTCTGGGAGTTGAAGTCCACACATGCTGGCTGGGGAATTCTGGGAGTTGAAGTCCACGCATGCTGGCTGGGGAATTCTGGGAGCTGAGAAAGGAAGTGGTGGTTAGAACTGGTCTTTCAGCAGAGCTGCTAAAATAGCATGCCAGAGTTTATTGGCAGGAGTTTGTTCAATTCACATATCACAGCGCTACGCAAATTTTGCTTTCCTTAAGAGAGTGGCTGTTTTATTGTTTTTTAAGTAACAAAATTCTATTGCCAGATGTTTGGCCTAGTTCTCTAGAACATATTTTAAAGTAAAAGCTTTAGCTTCCCAGCAGGATCCTATACCAGATTAATTTACTGTGCTGTTCCTACTGAATGTGGCTGTTCTTCTTGAACTACAACGAGATCTTTGACACTGCATTTCTTTCCGGAGAGGTAAAATGTATTTATCAGTAGCAGATCTACTGAGGAGTTAATTTCCAATTAACATGAGTTAAACAGTGACAATAAATGTTAGTCTTTGGAAAATACAGGGGTGGGCTCTGCTGGGAGCTTAAGAGGACAGAAGTATGGATAGGGGAGAGCTTGCAAGGGTCCCACGTGGGTCAAAGGCAAGACCTCAAAGCACCGCAACAGGATTAGGGCTGCTTATGGAAGAGAGATGAACAGGAGGAAGCAGAGTTCAGCAGCAGCTCTACCACATGGATGATAGGTGCAATCATAAAAGGCGAGGCACATCCAACAGGCCATCAACTCCTAAGTTCTCCTTAGATGATCACCTAAGTTGGCAGGTGACCATCCAGGGGTCTGGATGCCTAAGCAGTTCTGACTCTAATGCCTGAAGTAAATGAGACAGAGATATATTCGTTCCTGCAACCTTCTACGAGCATTTTGAAATTGTGGTGGAGTTCCTTGCAGTCTCTATGATGCTCAGCAGAGGCCTGATGAATTGGGAAAGCAAAATGAATCTTCAAAGGAGAAAAATGGAGAGAAAGGAAAGATCCAAGAGGGTATTTAGAAACACAACCGACTACGAGGATCTTCATGAACATATCTGTATCAGAAATGGCTCTTTGATTAAAGCCACCATGAGCTTCTTGAACTTCAAATAAGGTAATAAGAGTGAGGGCAGAATATATCTCAAATGACACCACTGCTGGACTACCACTAACCACATTAAATAAACTGCAAAAAAATGGCTAGCTGTTTTTATTTTCTTCAGGGAACAAGCCATGGCCCAAACCACAGATAAGCTTCAATGCCCAACCCTTCTCTAGCCAGCAATACATGCTTAGCGTCTAGCTTTGATTTCACAATGGATCTCCCTTAAAAAGCAAATGGCATACCATAAAAGATTCTTTTTCATTCTACCTTTCTGGAACAGAGTTTGCACAGCGCAGTCACAGAAGCATGCAGGTTAAAGCTCTGACAGCTGTATTCAGTGCCCTCTAGTGACACATCGCTAGCCCCTCATCCTGGTTAAACAAAAGAACGGAGCGATGGAAAAGATCCTTGGTAGCAAGGGGCCTGCAAAGCATTTTTTTTAAAAAAAGTTGTCAACAAGATGTAAGGCTTAGAATCTCGCAGTAGCAGCCGCTGTCCTGAAACTGTCAAAAAGTGGGTGAGAGAAGGCAGAACTTGTATGCAAAGGGCCATTTGGAGGTTCAGGAGAGTAGCTTCAGCTGGCTGAAGATGAAGATCAAAGGCAAGAAAAAAAACACGCAGAAGATCCTCTGCCACTTTTCTGTTTTGTTTTGTTTTTAACGTTGTACCTAACAAGCAGGAAGCTAATGCATTTCAAGAGCTACAAATCATATATCTGATTTTTTATTAAATCTGTCTTCTGAGGTGCATTAAGTTTTCTTGCTATCTTCACCCACAGGCAGGCCCCTAGTGGCAAACTCTTCCTCCTTCATTTTGAGGAGGGGACAGAAATTAAAATGTGAAAATACACAAAGATTTCAATTGTAAAAGGATGATTGGGATGATGTCCTCAGACAAGGAGTCCAGGACCACATTCCAGGCACTGGAGCTGCTCTCCTAGCCATGCTTCAGACAGCATTGCAAAGAGATCAACAGTGACTATTGGGGACAAATGGAAGTGGCCTTAGACCAAACCAGACCCTTGGTTTTTCCCCACCCCACCAGGAGAGGCTGGACATCGAACTGGGGATCTATGGCATGCAAAGTACACACATCACTAATCACGTAGTTCATCACACCCACCGTAAACCAGTAGAACTGAAACATTAAGGCCACATTTCCATCATGTTCACATAATGTTTACCATCAGTGCTGTTCCAAACAAACACACAGCATTTATGTTATTCCTGCCCTGACCTCTTAAAGACTAGGCCCTTCCCATTTTTTTCACCATTTTCATTTTCTTTCTTTCTCTCAGTTCAGAAGACCCACCAGAGTGTGAATCTGATGAATTCCACTGGCAGATAGCAGCAGGACACGTCTTATTCTTAAAGTCCATCTGCACTCCAGTCATTGTTGGGGAAATAGTTCCTGTGGCATTAAAGGCAGGTGCATGCTGGAAAACACACTGTGAAGCCAAGGCAATGGCTTCAGACTCCAACAGAATCCATCTCATTTTGTATTTCTGGGAACAATCACTAATGCATATCTCTGCCAAGGCTCTGGCTGCATATCTTGCAGCCTGAGGACTTCTGGAGAAGGAGGAGGAGCAGTCACAGCTTGTACTGCTTTCAACTGACCCATATAGCAACAAGCAGCACTTCTATCCTATAGAAAAAGGGCAACCACAGTTCAGATTTCTATTGCACCAATGGCTAAACTGACAGATAGAGATAAACTGAGCAGAATAAGCCCAGATCTGTCCGACACTACCGCTGTTTAATGGCCAAAAGTGTTCTCGTGTCTGCACCGCCCTGAGCTCTAAACTGAGCAAGTTGGCAAAGAACCTTGCATCAAGGGCAGGTGCAGACTTAAGACAGAAAAGCAAGCCGCCCCAAATGCAACTTTAAACAATAGTTTGCCAAGTTCCAGAGTAAACAGAGGTTCAAAAGATTTGCTCGCTGGTGATGGGAGAATTAAAGATTAACTCCAAGATGCACAATCAGGAGACGACAATGGAGTCCTGCAAGGAACGGCCATGTAGATTTGCCCTGTGGGAAGATCTGCCAAATGTGTGGCATGTAGATCTTCCATGAAAAAAACCCAAACTACAACTTCCTACCCATAACAAAGCCTGATGAGTAGACTGGCCGCTTTTTCTTCTTTCTGGATGACTTTGTATCAGGGCTAGCTTTAACTCTGATTTTCTAGGGCACCGAGGCAAGATCAAATCACAGCTCGTTCTCACAGCCAGAAACTCACTCTGAAAACATCTCCATATTGCCACAATCTCTGTCTCTCTTCCCCCTGCCCCCACCAATCCTTGGGCTTCACCATCAGCACTAATCAGAATAAAATTGAAAATGCGTATAACTGTACAAGCCTTCCCTCATTTCTCTCTTGTTGCTGTTGTTGTTGACACTGACTGTCTTTTGCGGCAAGGGGAAAAGGAAACCGTAGATTTATTTTTCTACATTTTAAGTGGCAACTCTTAGGTTTAAACATGCTGCAGCCTTTCAGACCCTCTGGGATTGAATCGTTTAGACAGCCTTGGGGTATTGTGTACTGTAAATTCCCACAATCTCTAATCGTTGGCCTTCTCATTGGGTTGATGAAAACAGCTATCCAGCAGTTTGGCCCACGGTGCACATGGGCTTAAAGTTTTCTTGCTGAAATCAGTGGAAGTGAAGAAGGTTGATTCTGGGCTATTGTCTTTCAAGTCATTTAACAGGTGAGTGAGAGCAGTTACGAGATCTCAAGAATGCTTCTAAGATATTTAACCTACAACAAGCAGTCATACCTCCGCAGGGAGGATCTGTGTTCTCTTAGTCCATCCAACCTGTTCTGTGTTGATTCAAGGGAGAATGGCTATATGAGGAAGTATCTCCAAAATCGTGTGTGTGTGTGTGTGTGTGTGTGTGTGAGAGAGAGAGAGAGAGAGAGAGAGAGAGAGAA